CTAAAAGCTTCACATGTTCTTTTGGTGTACAATTGGGGTTGGAAACCACTAGAATAAGAATTAAACTTTTTGTCACTTTTTTAAGAAAGACCTCTGCATTCTGCCTCCAACCAACCTTTTAAACCTTGTCCTGTTTTCCCGTTCTATCTCCTTCACTGGCTAAACCAAATGGCTTGTCTCCGCACATGTTATATGGCTTCTGCTTTTGTTACATGCTAGTCCTTCCATCTGGAATAGCCCTTTTGTCTCTTTTCTCCCCACTGAGTTTTCTCATTTGGCATTTTAGTTCCCATATATGCCCTGGCCCTTACAGAGACAAAACCTCCCCCACTATCCATATCCTATACCACAGTGGTGTTGCATTTGTTATACCTGATGAACCTACACTGACTCATCATCACCGAAAATTCATGTTTTATGTTAGGGTTCACTCAAGTATTGTACATTCTGTGAGTTTTAATAAATATATTATGGCATGTATCCACCATTGTAGTATCATATGTAAGAGTTTTACTGCCTTCAAAATCCTCGATGTTCTGCCTGTCCATCCCTGCCTCCCCCGAGCCCCTGACATTTTTACTGTCTCCACTGTTTTGTCTTTTCTGGAATGTTATGTAGTAGGACTCATACACTATGTAGCCTCATGACTTTTGCAGTCAGAAAGTCAGCAGAGTGTCATGTTGCAGCTAATGCATGTTGCCACTTGTCTGCTGGCTTCACCATGTTGGTGTGGGGAAACAGCTGGAACTATAGCAACTTCAGGTCCTGCCAGATCCTCTCTAGCTTCTCTTACTTCAGAGCCAGGCACATGCTTAGTTTCATCATGAAGACCACTGACTTCTCTTAGAAGATACCCCATCAGCAAAGTTGAAGACTTGGAAGTGATGAAAGGTTGAAGGGTGTTCCCATCTGTCCTTATAGGTTCTACTCATTCTCAGTTTCACTTTGCCCTGTTCCTTGGGCCATATGACTTCAGGCTGTAGCATCACCAGCACAAAAAGAAACAGCCTTCCATGGACTAGACTGTTTTACTGGCCCTCACAATCATGCAAGATGAAATCCTTGCAATAAAGCCCATATATATATGATTGATACAGCAAGCTTCCCAGTGCCTAACAGTGTGTATGATGTATATCAGGTGCTCAGCAAGTGTTTGTTGAATGCATAAGTGATTAGATGTACCAGTGAATGAATGAGAGACATAGTCCCTGCCCTCAAGGAGTTCCTAGACCAGTATGGAGACAGAACTGCAATGTAGGTCCGACAACCCAATTGTGGCATTTTGACATCTCTAGTGGAGCAGTCTGGAGAAGAACTGGGCCTCCCCCTAGGCCTCCCAGACATCAGTGTCTCCCTAGTTTGGGGTTATGTTGGGTGAGGTGATGGGCACAGACTGCCATGTTAGCTGATGTCCCCAAGGGGCTGGGGGCACATAGTTCAGTGTCCTAATGTCTAACAGGTGACTACAAGGCTTGCTCCTGAAAATGAGGTTCTAGCTATTGTGTGTCAGGTGCTACAGCAAATATGAGGTCAACTCGTAGTGACGTGTGGGTCTGCTTCTGGCACCTGCTCCTGGGACCACATTGGTTGTGGCCATTGGCAGTACTGTAATTGTAGCAGTTCCATTTTGAGGAAGCACTGCCTAGCCCTCGGGAGGAAATAACAGCAGTCATGGGTGAGGCAACAAACACCAGTTATTGGTATCCACTGGCTGCCCTTGGCTCACCAAACCGCAGTGGCAGCCATAGGTGAGGTACTTGTAATAGTACTGGATTATGTTGTGATACTGTTTGAGTGAATAAAAGCATAGGCTTGAATGCTTTATAATCATTAACATAGAGGTATTCATATGTTACTTTGTGGCTTACCATGTGATTCTTTTTTTTTTCCCTTCAAAAATTACTAAAATGATTTTTTTTTTTTTTATTCTTTGGCACATGATGATCTTTACAAAGTTTGTACATAGATAATAGGAAAAAGTTATATATTTAGTCACAATTTGAAAGATAGTGAATACAAATTATTGTTTCTCATTTTGCAATGATAAAGCAATTTTACTGTTAATTTTTATCCGTGTGTCTGTCTTTTGGTTGTCACTAATTTGTTGTCACTTATATGTTGGTTATCACATATATTTGCACCAAATCTGGTTATCATAAGGCCCAGTTTATAAAAATGTGTGTAAAATCCTCACTCTCCAACATTCTTACAACAAGATTTAACAAAATTAACAATATTAAAAGCATTTCTCTGTTTATTCTTAAGTAATCAAATAATCAAGTGATAAATAATCAAATGATCAAATAATCAAGTAATCAAATAATCCTACCTGGTACCATTCCACAGCTAAATACATAATGGCAATAGAACTATCATCTTCAAAATGAATTGTTTTTTTCTTTTGTATTCATTCCACATACGTTTTTGAATGCTTACCATGTGAAAATAATTGATCTTTATAATCAGTATTTCCTCTGAGAACCTATCTTCTAGGGTATTTTGATCAAAATTACGTGCACAGTGTTTTAAAAGTATTAGATATCATTAGCTTATTACCAGGCCAGTTTCTTAAAATGAAATGATATACTTGTTTTTATCTGTGCTTTGCTCACATTCTGCCTCCTGTCTACGTTTGATTAACTGACTATTGTACTGCTGTTGGTACATCCTTATTTTCGTTTCTAGATGATACGGAAACATACAAAAGGCCATTCTAAGACATATAACTTTACCTATAAATATTTCAAAATTGTAGACCAAACATATTTTTCCTTACAAATGAGGCCATCAAGCTCAATATTAAATTTACCTAAAGTCTTCGAAATACTTAGAAATACACTGTGGCCATGGGTAATTCAGCTCCTAAAAACTGCAGAGTTGTAAGTGTCATTAAAACAATCCAAGAGGATAGGAAATAATGAATTGAAATAATCTGACTGAGCTGCAATAAAGATTCAAACTGATAACAAAGCATCCCCCTAAGGTAACAGTTCTTCCTGCAATTGAGCTAAAATGTTAATCAAAAATTAGTTTCAGATTATAGAGGTTAAGATCCTTCACAGTAGGGCACGTAATAGTAATCAAAGATACTAGAAAAGAAAATTCCCTTGAAAATGCCTTTGGAACTAAATAAAGTGATGATTGTGATGGTTATTTTTTTAGTTGAGATTTCAAATTAATTGCCTGCTGACATTAGTATTGTTCTTGAGTATTGCATAGCAGGTGACCTCACTATATCTCCCTTATTTACTTAAATTGTTACTAAAAACCTTAATTATGATGAGTTCAGTAACTTTGCCCCTGTTCACTTGGAAGCGTTGGCAATGTGGTATTGGCTCAAGGTAAATAAAATCTTCAGGTTTGTAAATGAAGAATGTGGTCTCATTTGGGAGAACTTATTTTAGTAAGTTATGTAACATCCCCAGCGTACATTAAACTGCCTTCATGGCAGATTTTCCTATTTCCTGTTTTTCTCTTTTGCTTCTTTTTCTCAATAAATTGTAATACTCACCGTTTTAATATAAGGGACTTGTCTTTCAAGGGAAGAAAAATTAAGTAAACTTTTTGAAGATTTGTTCTGCATGCAGAAGTTGCCGTTTTGAAGATTTTTTAAAAAAATTATAAAAGTAACTTGTGCTAATTAAAAACCACAAAATTAATGATACGGTGTGAAATAACATTACCCCTAGGTAACCTTTGCTAACATTATGGATATGTCCTTCCAAATACTTTATTTGCACACATAAAATATATGATCTGTAAGTATTTTAAATGTTAAAATTACTATACATTCTGTTCTGCTGCTTGATTTTTCTTAAATGAAGAACTACGTAATTCAGCAAACCAATATTTTCCAAGTGATCAGTGAGTACATGTTGAAAAATCATTCAAAGATAAGGATTTATTAAGAGAATAAGATAGGCCACAAGATTTAATGTGACGGAGAGCAGGGGTCTATTGATCTGATTTCAGATTTTTTTAAAGAAACTACTATTTGTGAGTTTCAGTGTAGTTTCAAAGAATATCCACAATGGTCAGCAAAGGCTGTTCAATACTACTCCATTTTCCAGCTGCATGTCTGGGAAGGACTGGATTTTCTTAACTTCAACCAAAACACATAATGCAACAGATTGAATGCAGAAATAGATATGAAAATCCAGCTTTTATTTAAGCCACACATTAGATTTCCAAGTATGTGAAACAGTGCCATTTTTCTTACTAAAGTGATATTTTTATTTTGAAAAATAGTTATTTATAAAAGTTATATTTACATGTAATGGATTTATTATTACTTTTAAGTGAGTTGATAAATACTATTAAAATTTTCTAATTTCAGATCCAGTAAATAGTGGTAGATGTACCCATATAAGCAAACGCTTCTTGAGATCACCAATAACTTTTAAATGTAAAAATATTAAGGGCTTTGAGACCAGAATGTTTGAGAACTTCTGCTCTTGAAAGACTTTGAGATTGTCTCCATTTTTGAGTTATTATAAGCAGTGCTTCAGTAAACAACATCATGTACTTGTCTTTGTGCACTTCTAAAAGTTTGCCTGTAGGAAAAATTCTAGAAGTAGATACGCTAGACCAAAGGATGTGTGTTTTTGAAACAGTGATAGATTATACCAGATTTCCAGTTTTTGTGCCCAGCAGTGGTTCATGAGTCATCCTGCATTCTGATCAATGGGATAAGTAGAAAGCAGTGTATTGTTGTTTAACGTTCTTTTTCTTAATTATGAGTGAGACTAAGAATTTTTTAGATATTTATAGCTCATTTTTTTTTTTTATTCGATGAATAGCTTGTTCATATCTCCCTCTCACACACATTTTTTTAGTGGACATTTTGTTTGATTATTTGCTTTTAAGTAAGAGTCCCATGGTAGATTTTATTTCTCAAGAATAGCCATTAATAATATTTTGTATTCTACATGCTCTTTTTTTTTTTTTTTTTGAGGCAGGCTCTCACTTTGTCACCCTGGCTGGAGTGCAGTGATGTGATCTGGCTCACTGCACCCTCCGTCTCCTGGGCTCAAGCCGTTCTCCCACCTCAGTCCTCCAAGTAGCAGGGGCTACAGGCGCATACCGCCAAGCCTGGCTAATTTTCGTATTTTTTGTAGAGAAGAGCTTTTGTCATGTTGCCCAGGCTGGTCTTGAACTCCCTAGCTCAGGCTCCACCCACCTCAGCCTCCCAAAGTGCTGGGATTACATGTGTAAGCCACCATGCCTGGCACACATGCTTTTTAAAAAAAATATCATTTTGACATTCCTCCTCATTGGCAGGTTGGGTCTTTATTCCTTCCCTTTGAAATTGGGCTAATTTGCTGATAGTTTATGCTTTCCCAAGTCTCGATCATAAGATACAGCTTTCACCAGGTTCTCTAGGGACACTTGTACTTGAAAACTAGCCACCATACTATAAGGAAGCCCATAAATCTATAAGAAGTAGGCCTCGTTTTCCCTAGCTGAGGTCCCAGATGACAGCCAGCATTAACTACTGAGCTCATGAATCAGTGACCGTTAAGATTATTCCAGCCCCCAAATGGCTTGAGTCACTCCCAGCCTTCAGGTCTTCCCTGTATATATCCTAGTCACTTTAATTTATTTTTACGTGAACCTTAGCAAGGTGAAATTACCTGTGACAGACTACAGTTAGGCAGTTTTGTCTTTATTTTCTTTTTCACATGTGCATTGTGTATGAATATCTTACTAATAAATCATCTGGTTTTCTGGAGGTGTCCTCTTGTAATAAAGTACTTTAAAATCAAATATATAGAAAAGGAAAGCTTTTGTTATAGAAACTGTTCAGGTGTTATTTATGACTTTCTTTGAACTTAATCAGAGTTGATTTCATATCCCAGCTGTCTTACTGAGCTGGAAGAAACTGATGAGATTCTTAACCTTATTCAAAATGCCTTTATGTCATTGTATGAATTAAATTGAGGTAACTTTTATGCACAAAGAAGAGGAAGGATCTTTGTTTAATAGTGGTTCTCAACTGGGTGCTATTTTGCCCCATTCCTTGCCCCTCCCTGCCAGCATTGTCTGAAGATAAATTTTTTTATTGTTACAGGGCAGGGAAGTGCTACTGGCAGTAATGGGTGGGAGTCAAGGCTGTTGCTGAAGTTCTGCAATACTTAGAACTGAAATGGGAGAGTTCCGTGACCCCCCTCACAGTATATGTGACAGGGGTATGGCTCATCCACTGGTGCTCAAGCCCCTTACGGGAGGGGGAGCATGCAGACAGGTAGGTGCAGGAGCCAGGGCAAGTACCCCTAGGCTCTGGCCCATGACAGCAGCCGGGGTGGTAAGCTGCAGCTCTCCAAACCCAAATGTGCATGTGTTATAGTGCACTATTTTAGCTTTGCCATCTACAGATGACTTAAGTGTTAACCAGCTCAGTGCCCTCTTAGTACCCAGGTTCTTGTCTGGCATCCAGGAAGAATCAGGTCACACACAGAGTTGAGGATAGAGAATATGGGGGTTTTATTGAGTGGTAAAGATGACTCTTAGCAAGATGTGTGGGGAGCTGGAAAGGGGATGGAATGGGAAGTATATCTTCCCCTAGAGTTTAGCCATCTAATGGCCAATATCCTCTCTGACTGCCCCAGCCGAACTCCTCTCAGTGTTCTGATGCTCCTTGTCTACTTTCCTTCTCTGCCGTGCCATTCTGCTGTTCTCCTCTTCTGTTCTTCACCTTATGGAGTTGTGGGTTGGCATTTATGTGGGTACAGGATAGGTGGGTGTGGAAGCTTTTGGGCATGAAAACAGGAATGCCTGTTCCCACTTAGGGCCTTGAGTTTCCAGGCTTGAGGGTGGGGCCTTTGGCAGGGAACCCAGCATTTCCCTGTCTCCTGTCTGTGTCAGAACAACCCCCATAACAAAGAATTATCTGTCCAATGTTTATTAGTGCCAAGTTTGAGAAACCCTGAATTTAAGCCACTCATGTTTTGTTAGTGTAGTTTTGTTTGAGTTTAGATTTTGTAAGTATAAATTATCTTGTTTCACTGAGCAGTGAGTCATTACAAGAGTGCCATTCAAGAAGTATTTATTAGGTGCATAGCATGTGCCAAAATAGCAGATGGCTTATAGAGGGCCTTGTATGCCAGAGGCGTAGCAGGTAGAATATCCCTCTCATCCCCCAAGAATATGCATGTCCTAATCCCTGGAACCTATGAATATGTTTCCTGTATCAAAGATCAAAATTTCAACAAACTGAGTTACAGAGATTTAATTAGCTTTTATTAGTGATTCATGAATCGGGCAGCATCCAGTCTACAAAATAGATTGGAGCTCTGAGGAGGTGGCGGAAGAGTTGGTTTTTGTAAGGTAACTTGAGCAGGAACAGGGAAACAAAATAGTACAAAAAGTGGATTGGCTAACACCTTGGATGAGCTAAGGGAAAGGGTGCTTCCCTATCATCCTGTCTCGGGTTTACTGAGCCCCTTTTGGTTGGTTACTGTGAATCCCCCTTTTTTAGAAAACTGGCCTGTTCTTAAATTTAGTTTGATGACATGGCATCTAGCACAAGTGACTCCATTCTGGTAATTTAACACATGACAAACTGGAATTTGCTGATCAAAGGGAAATTATTTTGGGTTATCTAGGTAGGTACTTTGTCATGACAAGTCATTAAAAGTGGAAGATGGGGTGGAGGGTGAGGGGGAAGAAGGGATGGGGAGGCAGTGGTACAGAACAGAGAGGAGGAGGAGCCAGAACAGAAAACAAAGAGAAGATATTTCTGTTACTGAGGCCCAGGGCAGCTAACTGGCTACGTGGAGGTATCTGTCTAACAGCATTATTGTTCACTGAGTGGAAGCAGTTAATCTGTAGGTAGCTAAATGTTGATGGGTGGGCTGGAGGAGCAAGTTTGGATTCTGTAGTAGGAAAATGCGAGGAAGTTTTCTTGATGTGACTAAGCACAATCTCAAATCTTTCTTGCCAAAAGTTTTCTGCTCTTTCTGAAAATTCCTTAATAAATCAAAACATAATCAAATAACACTTGTTTAGAAATACATATACATTGGCCAGGCACGGTAGCTCACGCCTGTAATCCTAGCACTTTGGGAGGCCAAGGTGGGTGGATCACCTGAGCCCAGCTTGGCCAACATGGCGAAACCCCATCTATACTACACTTTGGGAGGCCTAGGTGGGTGGATCAAGACCAACCTGGCCATCATGGTGAAACCCTATCTTTAAAAAAAAAAAAATACATATACATCTGACTCGTGATAAAAATCAATGAGATCGCTGGGCGCGGTGGCTCATACCTGTAGTCCCAGCACTTTGGGAGACCAAGGTGGGTGGATCACTTGAGCCCAGCTTGGCCAACATGGTGAAACCCCATCTATACTAAAAATACAAAAATCAGCTGGGCATGGTGGCATGCCTCTGTAGTCCCTGCTACTTGGGAGACTGAGGCACGAGAATCACTTGAACCTGGGAGGCAGAGGTTGCAGTGAGCTGAAGTGGTGCCACTGCACTCCAGCCTGAGCCACAGAGTGAGACTCTGACTTAAAAAAAAAGAAAAAATCAGTGAGAGATCAGGATCTGCTTTAGAAAAATTAGCCTCAGAGCCAAATTTGACTTAACAACTTTGCTATGTCAGCAGATGGTCAAAGACTTTGTCATTTTTTAATAAATCATTAATTTATAAATGATATACCATTTGATGAAATCATATTTTTGAAAGAGATTGAGGACACTAACCCATTCTACATTTCCTCCTTATAGCACCTGCACTTTTCAATCCTTCATCTGATGGCTTGACTTTGTCGAGCATTTTTATCAACAGACTTGAGATTCTTAATATGATTTGCTCAGTGATCATGCCTCTTGGAACCACAAAGGCAACTGGAACAATAAAGAGATAAATGGGACACAGCTGCTCCCCTTATATCTTCTTATTGTTCCAATTGCCTTTGTGGTTCCAAGATGCTCATGTTTGTTACATTCAGATTGCTCAGTCCCTGTAATAATGGTGTAGACAGAAATAAATGATACTCAGAAAACTCAGCATATCCGTGACATTTACATTTCAAACAGAAATCTCATCTGATTTTTCCTCACAGTTTCTCCTTATCTTCTTTCCATTCTCTGAATCACCTGGTGTCCACATATGATAGGAACAATGTTTTATGCACGTTTGGATTTATAGTATATTCTCTCCCACAGAGGACAAACATGAATATTAATTATAATTCTGAGAGGGAAGTAATTATAATTAAAGGCATTGCTAGATAGTGGTACTTCTAGATATCTAGCAGTCTGTTATTTTTAATACTCATTACATTGATGTGTATAGCACGCCCCTAAATATCCTATTACACTTTATGTAGCCATTTAACTTTAATGACAATAAGATGAATGGAAGGAAAAAATTCTCTGTTATTTACTAATTTAGTTATATCTTAAAGTTGATTGTTTTAAATGTAAAGCCATCACCCCATTGCTGGAAATTGAATGCAGATAGTCCTAATTGCACTGCCAAAATTGACTTAAAAGTAGAAATGCTTTTATAAAACATGTAAAAAATTATCTCAAAAAGCAACATACTTTTATAGGATTCTAAAAATGCATATAAGATCATAACATTTTTATTGATACAAAATTTATTTTATTTTCCTACACATTTTCTTTTTGTGATAGCAAGTCTTCCCTGCAGCCTTCTATATTAACTGATGCTAAGGATAGCCTATGGTAGTCTTGTGAGTCTATGTTTAGTTGAACGTAAGATGATCTAGTGGGTGTGTGCTGAGAGATCTGAATAATATGATCAGGAAATTTAATATCTATATAAAAATTCTACTCTATAAGTAGAATATGTAAATGTTGATGAAACGTTTATAAAAACTGAGCATATTCTAGGCTAACAAAGAAAACCCCTAATTTCCCAGAGTAGAAATAGTACAGGTTATAGTATCTGATCACATTAAAGTAAAACCAGATATTACACAAAGGTTGAGAGAAATACTGGTTTCATAAAGTTTTTTAAACAGTATTTTGAAGGTGAAGCTTGAAATTTTGAAGTAGGTGGCATATAACACTGAGATTGTTACACATAAAAAGGTGAGCACAGCTCAGTTATTCCTAGC